GGCTGCGGGTTGGGAGTGAGGGGCTCTGGCAGAGCTGGGTGAGGGGGGCGGGGCTGGGATAGCAGGGGCTGCGGGTTGGGAGTGAGGGGCTCTGGCAGAGCTGGGTGAGGGGGGCAGGGCTGGGATAGCAGGGGCTGCGGGTTGGGAGTGAGGGGGCTCTGGCAGAGCTGGGGGAGGGGGGCAGGGCTGGGATAGCAGGGGCTGTGGGTTAGGAGTGAGGGGCACCGGCAGAGCTGGGGGAGGGGGGCAGGGCTGGGATAGCAGGGGCTGCGGGTTGGGAGTGAGGGGCTCTGGCAGAGCTGGGTGAGGGGGGCAGGGCTGGGATAGCAGGGGCTGCGGGTCGGGAGTGAGGGGCACCATCAGTGCAGTGGGGCGGAAGCTCCCATGACCCCTGTCTGGCTCCAGCAGGCGCCAGTGGCTCCTCAGCTGGCAGGGACCCCTCCCAGCCTGTGCTGGGTTTGGTTTGGGGGCCAGAGTGAGTCCCTGAGGGCCAGGGATGGTCTCTGGAACGGGTGCAGGGTGGCACTGCAGCAGGGTGGCACTGCCCCGGGCAGCCCTCAAGTCAGGGCTGAGGGGTCTCCATGCCCCCCCCAGGGAATGTAACCCTGTCTGGCACGCAGCCTTAGGGGCATTTCTTGTTGCTCTGGCCCCCCCAATGCGATGAGTTGGCCCAGGGCAGAACTGGGGGGCGCACCATGAGGGGCTCTATTGAGAGACCAGATGTGGCCCCCGCACAATGGCCACAGCCCCTGCTACCCTCTGTGGGGCTGGGTCCCAGCTTCTCTGCCCCCTTTCACAGCAACTGCGGAAGCCTCCGCAGGAGGAGGGTGGGCAGAGGAGCCGGCGCCATGGCAACCGAGGGAGATTTGCCCCACCCCCGTCCGCTCAGAGTGCAGATCCCCCCACCCCCACACTGCATGACCCCCACAGATCCTGGGGACCAGCAGGGCCTGGATTCAAACAGCCTCCCCCCCCCCCGCCCCGCAAACAGGCTGGGCCTGGAGGAGGGGAGGGCAGAGAAGGGAGAGAAGGGTACCCGGGGGGGGAGAGGGCAGAGATGGGTACCATGGGTACCGCGGGGGGAGGGTGAATAGGGCAGAGAAGGGGGAGGTGGGTACCCGGGGGGAGGGCAGAGAAGGGGGAGGTGGGTACCTGGGGGGAGGGGAGGGGAGAGGGCAGAGAAGGGGAAGGTGGGTACCTGGGGGGGAGAAGACTGATAGGGGAAGGACAAGAGAGGAGCTCTGCATTCCCGCCCATCCGCGTCTCTCCTGCCCCTTCACAGGCCTGTGTCACCCCCAAATACAGCAGCTTCCCCCGCCTGCCACGTGGCCCTTCCCTTGCTGCAGCCCCCCTTGCTGCCCTCCAGGGCCAAGCCCCCTCACCAGTGTCCCAGGTGCTACCAGCCCTAACCTGGCAGCAGAGGGGCTGAGTGCACCGGAGGACAAACGCAGGCTGTCGGTGTGGGCCAGAGGGAGTGGTGGGTCTCCCCTTCCACCAGCCGGGGGGATTTAATTCTCCCCCTGGATTCATACCCACAGCTCAGCCTGGGTCCCAGCCCAACCAAACTCAGTGTCAGAACAAAGGGACCCAGGCATCCAGGCAAGACCCTCCTCCCAGGCACCTGCAGAAGACCAGGCCAGGCCTGGGATGCCAAGGCCATCCCCAAAGGCAGCACTAGCCCCACCCCATCCCCATAGGTGCATTTCCAGCCCAGAGATGCCAAGCACAGAATCCACCCGCTGCCCGTCCCAGCGCCCCCCACAGGAGGAGCACAAAGCGCTTGGCAAACCCTCAGCTCCACATCAGCCCCCAGAGCCGGAGGGGAGCTATTGACAGACGGGGAAAATGAGGCGCAAGAAGTGTCTCACTCCAGAGCGAAGCCTGGAACCCAGGAGTCCTGACTCCCAACTGCTCAACGGAGCCCTTGCCCCCCAAAGCCAGCACAGGAACCCAGGATCCCCTGCTCCAGCCCAGGGCACCCGCTAGCACTGCCCCGGCCACATGCTCAGCAGGGCTGGTCCCAGGCAGGCCTGCTCTGGCCTGCCTCCCTGCCTCTGTCCAGCACATTGAGCCGATGCCCAGGGAGCCAGCGGCGGGGCCCTGGCCTCCATCCCCACCCTGCCAGGTCACCGCCTCTCTCCCCCAGCCCTGCTGCCAAGGGCACCCGACTCCCAGTGCTCGCAGGACCAGGCCCGGCTCTTACCCAGGCCCTAGGCCAGGCCCATTCTGGGCTAGCTCTGCAGGAGAACCCCAACCGCAGCTCCACTCCCGAGGGCACGGGGGCTCCTTTGAGCCCCAGCAGGAGGGGAAGTAGGCAGGGATGGTACTGGTCATGGGGGGGTACAGGGGAGCCTGTCCACCGTCCCCTGCTCGGGCCAAAGGGGGCAGGACATCCCAGGGATGGCTGAGAGGAAGGGGATGGGACAGCTGCGGGGAGCCTCAAGCCAGTGGACACCGAAAACAGATGGGGCAACTAGGAGCAGGGAAGGCTCAAATCTCAGCCCTACTCCCCGCCCCACACACACACACACACTCACACTAGGGAGACCCCATGTCAGCTGGAGATGCAGCTCCCCACAGACCCCCCTGTTGGGCTCACCCCCCCCATCCTGGCACTGCCTCTCACCCCCCTGGCCCCTCCCAGCACCCAAGACACTGGCTCTCCCGCCCTGCTCAGCGAGTCCTTGGAGGCCCTGGTGCCCCTGATAAGTTCCTCACAGGCAGGAATATGCCACCCTGCCCAGCGTCCTCCCCCACGGCAATGCCACAGGGTGCTAGGGCTGTGGGGAGCTGTGCCCGCGGGCGCTGTGGTGAGGGAATAGGGCATTCCTAAGCCAGTCAATGCGTCTCCGCTGGGGGGACGAGCATGTGACCACCACTCTCTCCTCCTCCAGAGGCCCTCCTGTGCTGGTGAGCGGAGCCTCGCTGGCGGGAGCATGGAAGTGGGGGTGCGGGGCAGAAGTGCAGGCACCCTCGCCCTACAGATGCTCCACCCGGTTCAGCAGGGGCATTTCCAAGTTGGGTGGGGGCCTCCATCCTCCAGCACCAGGCAACAGCCCTGCAGGGTCAGCATGTGCCGTGATCTGGGCTGGTGACCCCTCTGCCAATCACATGGGGCCCCTCCCCTCCCTCCAGCATCGGGACCGACTCCCTAAAGCCCAACCCCACTTCATGGGCAGGGGGTCGCGTCCCCAGCGGGGCTCTGGACCCCAGCCCTGCCCAGCTCTGCCAAGCCTGACCCTGCCTTGGCTGCCCCATCACCAAGGCCTCCAGGCTTCCGCTGCCAGGGCACAGCGCACCCCGAGCCATCCCCACCAGCAGCCCCTCCTCGCTGGCGCAGCTCCACCAGCCGGGACGCGCGCCGAGCGGGAGCCCAAACCTCTGTGGCACAGGACAGATGGCGGGTGATGATCCTGCCCCCAAGCTGCAAGTGGGGAAGAAGCCAATTCCCCAGCTTGAGCCCCCCAGTCCCAGCCTCTTCCCCGGCCCCCCACCATCTTTGTTCCAGCCACAGCCACTTGTGTCCTCCTGGAGAAGGATCCTGGGGATTTAATGGAGCTGCTGCTAGGAAACCGGCTCTAAGCTCCCCCGGACTTGGCAGCACCTGGTTCCCGGGCCAGTCCGCACATGGCCCTTCAAAAGCCAGCTCCAACCTCACTGGGCTGTACCATGTAGGGTCGCCTGGGGATGGACAGAGACAGATGGATGGACAGAGGGGTGTGCAGGGGGACAGACAGACGGAGTGTACGGGGACAGCTGGATAGACGGAAGGGGCGAATGGGGATGGACGGATAGAAGGGTGCATAGCGGGACAGACAGTCGGACAGGGGGGCATGTGTGGGGCCAGACGGACAGGCAGATATTCGATAAAGATCGGATCAGCAGTGATCAGGACAATTGGGATCATTTTCTGCCCCCCCTCCCAAGCGGCTGCCTTGTGGCCAAAGCCCCCTCCCCCCGTGTACACGGGGTGTAAGGGCCCCAGCAGCCGGGGGGGCGGAGCCGGGGACCCAATCTGGCACCAAGGCGCTGTCTCCGGCAGACAATGGTACCATAAAAATAGCGCCGCAAAGGGAGAGAAAAACAAGGATGGGGGGAGGGGTCCGCCCCGACTCCCCCCCCCCGTCGTGTGTACCGGATCCACGGGCTCCCCGAGCCCCAGCCCCCCACGAACGGTCCCTGCCCCAATGCGGACACCCCGGGGCCAGAATCCGGGCAGCAAATCTAGCAAACCCCGCCCCGCGAGGGAAAAGGGGGTTAACCCCCGGGGGGGGCGCTGGAGCGGCGGGGGGGGGCTGCGGGGTGACGGGGAGGCCCGGGATGGGGGGATGCTTCCAAATCGGCCAGACGTGTCAACCCGGACCTGATTCCAGCCTGAGAGCCCCCCCAGTTCCCGCAGCGCCCCGCGCAGGGACCCCCACAGCTCCCGCAGCCCCCACGCAGGGACCCCCGCACCCCCCCTGCAGGGACAATGTGCACCGTGGGGGGGGCTGAGAGCCACTGACCCAAACTGCAAACCCCGCCTGGGCTGGAAACCTGCTCCAGCCTCCAGTTCCAGCCCCGAGCGCTGCAGGACCCCCCGCCCCGGCCGCTCACCCTGCGGGCTGGGCGGCTCCCCCGGAGACTTGCCCGGCGCGGGCCAGATGTTGCCCGCGAGCAGCAGCAGCAGCGGGAGGCAGCGGCCGCGGCGCCGGGGCGGCATCGTGGGAGCCGGAGCCCGCAGCATCCGCCCGGCGGGCGCTACCCGCCCATGGGCCCGGCCCCGCGCAGAGAAACGGCCCCGGCCGCCGCCGCCCGGCTCCTGGTGGGTGGGTGGGACCCGGATCCGCTCCGGCGCGATTGTTCCAGCACCGCGCCGCCCCCTCCCCTGCCCGGCGGGGCCAGCCCGAGCGGCCGGGCTCCCTCTGCCGGGGCTCCGCGGCACAGCCGCTCCGCCAGCCCCCTCCCCAGCTCCGCCCCCCGCCCCTTCCCCGGCTCCCCCCTAGCTGCCCCCCTCCCCGCCCAGTCACCTCCCTCCTTTAGTCCCAGCCCTCCCCGGCTCCCCTCTGCAGCCGCCCAGCTCCAGCTCCAGCTCCCGGTCCACACCTCCTCCCTCTTCTCCCCAGCTGGGCCCGGCTCCCGACCTGGCCCTGTTTGTGTCCCAGTTGCTGCATAGACACAGGGAGAGGGGCCCTGCCCCAGAGCTCCCAGTCTCCGCAGCCAGGACAGAGGTGGATCTCTTCCCAGGGAGGGGGGCTCAGGGAAACGGCCCCCAGCAGCATCTCCCGACTCCCAGGCGGGCCCTTCTCCAGCACTCCCCTCCCCTCAGTCTTGGGCTTGCCCAGACGGACCCCGGCCTCCCCCACCTCCCCTCTCACCCCCGTCCCCCAGGTCAGGCTGAGGCCTGTGGGCAGGGGCTGCTCGCCCTGTGGATGCCCATAGGGGCCTTTGCCATCTGGCACCTTTTGGCCCCAGGTCTTTAGCCGAGACAGGTCCTTCCCGCAGGGGAAATGAGGTTTTCTGTCACCTGGTGAACTGTGTGGCATCTTCCGGTCAGCGTCCCTCTGGCTCCATTGCTCCAGGCTGCTCACAGCTTCCCCGAAGGCGGCCCCTCCACAAGCTGCTGCCAGGGGGTTGGAGGAGACCCCCCTTCGCTGGCACAGGGCTGACTGGGGCTGGGCAGTGACCTGGGTTATTTCCCCATCTCACTGTCTGCTTATCATAACCATGGGGGCGGTTCCCCCACCCCACCCCACCAGCCAAGCCCTGCCCAGAGCAGAGACCAGCAGAGGCCCAACTGCGGGGAGCTGATGGGGGGGTCCATGGGCCCTTCTCCCGGCTCAGCAGTAACAGGCTGGGGAAATGCAGCCTGCCAAGTGCGCTCACCTGTCACTGCTCCCCACAGCCCTCCCCTGCCTGGGGGACGGGCATGAAATTAAACTAGAGCATTGGGGTGGGGCTGGGCTGAGCATGCGGCTGGGAGCCAGGCCTGCTGCATCCCCGGCCTCAGCCGTCCCAGCAGCAAAAGGGGGAGGATCATGTGACTGCCTCCCGTCCCCCCAGGCTGCCCTGGGAACCACTGAGCTCCTGGCCCAGGTCCCACAGAGCCAGGGCAAGAAGCCAGGAGTCCTGCCGCCTACCCCCTGTTCTAACCACATCACCTACAAACCACTGCCCCCGCGAGCCCCTTCCCCAAATCCGGCCTGGCCCCTAGCCCAGGGGGGACACCCCCAGAATGGCCCAGGCTAGGCATGCTGGATGGGTAGTGCTGGGAGCGCCATTGTGTCCACGGCCCACTGGGCAGCAATGTCCTGCCATTGGCCACCCGGGCCCGTAGGGGGAGCAGTGACCCGATGGGCCCATCCACCTCCTGACACTGTGAGCCTGAGCAGGGCCATGTGGCATGCTGCAGCTGGTGACTCATCTACACTAGCGCTCCTAGCGCTGCCCCTGGCAGAGCAGAGCAGAGCAGGGCTAGTGCAGCAGTGGGGAAGGGGCTGGCTTCATGGCAACCTGACCAGCCTCACCAGCTGCCCCGTTGTTTAGCAGAGGCTGCTGCAGGCAGCACAGCCGGCTGTGGGGCCAGAGAGGGCAGGGCAGGGGGGCTAGGCTGCGCCAGGCCCACTCGGTGCTTCTGGGACTGGTGGGAGAGCTGGGTTAGTCTGCGCTTTTCAAACTGGCTGCACAATGCGCACACACACCCCACACGAACACACACATACAAACACACATGCCACTGTGCCTGCACCCACCCCTACACACACATACCCCTGTGCGTGTGTACACCCCTACACACACACACGCCCAACACACGCACACACATGCAAACACATGTCCCTGCGCATGCACACCCCCTACACACACACACACACCCAGTGCACGCACACACATGCAAACACATGTCCCTGCGCATGCACACCCCCTACACACACACACCCTTGCACATGCACACTCCCTACACACACACACCCCCAGAACGCGCACACACATGCCCCTGCGCATGCACACCACCACACACACACACACACCCTGTGTGCACACATACACACACCCATCCTTGCGCATGCACACCCCCTACACACACACGTGTACACCCCTACACATACACACACCCAGTGCGCATGCACACACACACATGCCCCTGCACATGCACACCCCCTAGACACACACACCCCTGCGCGTGCACACACCCCTAACCACACACACATCTGTGCATGCACACCCCTACACACAGTGCGCACACACAATTGCAAACACACACGCCCCAGCGCATGCATACCCCTTACACACACACACCCGTGTGTGCACACACCCCTACACACACACACAATGCACCCAGTGCACTCACACACATGCAAACACACGTGCCCCTGCATATGCACACCCCCTACACACACACACACCCCTGCATGTGCACCCCCCGTGCACACACACACCCCTTACGCACACACACATCCCTGCATGTGCACAGCCCCTACACACACACACACACACACACACAAACGCTGCTATTTGCTCCCCTCCTCCCCCAATCTCTGCGCTGTGTCATGCTCTTTGGGGTGCCATGTTTAAAACGGGCACTAACTTCCAAGGCTGCAGCCCGTTGAATGTTGCCGGGAGCCCTGGCATGGCTGGTGCTGCCCGGGAGCCAGGCTGCCTGTGTCGTGCCAGGAATGTCAACATGCTGCACGCAGACCCCCTCCCAGCCAGCTCTGCAGAGGAGGGGGAGGCTGGGAGATGAAGCCGCAGCAGCTCTGCCACCTTGTCCTGCAGCACCAGCCCTGGGAGCAGAGACGCGCCCATGGGCCTGAGCAGGTGTGTGTGTGGGGGGGGCGGGAATAGCAACAGGGAATTTGGGGGGTGCACTCGGGCTCTTTGCAATGCAACCACAAAGCAATATCGTGTCAGTTCCCAGCCCCCCTGTTCCCCGGACCCTGGCTACATGACAGCCCTGTGCAGGGGCTCTGCGCAGCGGGGGCCCGTGGTGCACCGGATCCCATAGCCAGGTCTGTAGGTGGACACATGGGTTGGAAGCTGGTGCCCTGCCTTGGCAGCTGCAGCGTAGAGACAAGGAAGGAAGGTTCGGAAGCCCCATTATTAACCCTCCCCATTTAGAGAGGCTGGAAGAAACCAGCCCTGTCCCAGTCCTCCCTTTGCCACTGCAGCCCTGACTTCCTCCCACACCCCTCACTCCCGACCCGCAACCCCCTGCGATCCCAGCCCTGGGCTCCCCACAATCTGCTGGTGCCCCTCACTCCTGACTCCAGTGCATTATCCACGATCTACAACCTATCCTGGAAAATGATCCTTCACTCTCACAGACCTTGGGAGGCAGGCCAGTCCTCGCTTACAGACAACCCCCCAACCTGAAGCAAATACTCACCAGCAACC